GCTAATTTTTTGATTTATTGTAGAGATGAGGTCTTACCAAGTTGCCCAGGCAGGTCTCAAACCCACGGAGTCAGGCAATCCACTCACCTCGGCCTCCCAAAGTGCTTGATTACAGACTGAGCCACTGAGCCCGGCCCACATTCACACTTTTAAAATTCATTTTTCTTTCTTTCTTTTTAGAGGTGAGATCTTGCTACGTTGCCCAGGCTACAAGCTAGTCCCAGGCAGTCATAGCACACCACAGCCTCAAACTCCTGCCTCAAGGAATCCTCTCAGTCACAGTCTCCCAAGCAGAGACTACAAACAAGTGCCACCATGCCTGGTTTTGTAGCACACTTTTAAGTTCAATGTTTATAAAAGCAAGAAACACAATTCACTGGAGGGTGATACTAAGGTAAGTACAATAAGAATGTCAGTAACTAGCTATTTGCTTCTTTCTTGTAAGAAGCATATTAAATTCTTACAACTTTCCTCCCCAAGACTTTGGTATAAACACTTGCATACCTACAGAACTGGAAGACTTCATTTGGAATATATAATTTTTCTACCTTTCTAGTGAACCATCCTCTATTACTACCTTCATTAAATTTGAGGCAGTCTATTTAAATGAAAGCTCAATCACATAAAGTTTAAGAAAAAATCCACAATTCTTTTTCTTTACTATTTGTTGCCCACCCCCTTTGCTTTTTTCTTTTTTTGTTTTTTGAGTTGGAGTCTCACTCCTTCGCCCAGGCTGGAGTGCAGTGGCACACATGCTCACAGTTACACCAGTGTCGACCTTCTGGGCTCCAGTGATCCTTTGGCCTCAGCCTTCCGAGTAGCCGGAACTACAGAGGCGCGGTACCACATCCGGCTATTTTTTATTTTATTATAGAGATGCCAAAGTTGCCTGGGCTGGTCTCAAACCCGCGGGCTCAGGCAATTCACTTGCCTCGGCCTCCCAAAGTGCTGGGGATTATAGGCTGAGTCACCAAGCCTGGCCTGGTGTCCCTTTTCTAAAATATTTAAAAGGATACTGGTACTGAAGATTTTTCCAGACCTCCAGTTTTTGTGAGGGAGAGACACCACAACATGTACAGGGAGTAAGGAGACCTGAGTTCTAACTCTGCCATACACCAAGCTCAGACTCCTGTTGGCACAGGAGAATAGCACTATTTTCAGTTATTTTATATCAACCATTGCTTTATGTAGTACTCCAAGAAAGAAGACAGTGCCCAGGAATGTATGTTGCTTCCCCAAGTTCTATCCTGTTGTCTCCGGATCCATTCCTCTTAACAGAGCCCAGTTTAAGGCAGAGGGGAGACATCTGAGGGATCTTTCAATATGGAAAGATCTCATTAGATTGATGTGACCAGTTGCTCAACTCCCTTATGTTCAATATTTTAGGTTATTCAAAATTTCTTGGAGCTACCACGTATAGTTTCCAACTCTGAAAATGTGTGACCCTTTTATTAGTATGATACAGTCAGGCTGTACAAGCAGTGTAATGGTTAAGTACCTGCACCCCTGAATTGGCAGACTTAGGCTTGTATCCCAGTTTTACCATTTCCTAGCTACAGGGTCTTTGCAGATGTAATCAAGGTTAGATGAGGTCATTAGGGTGAGCCCTCATCTAGTATGACTGGTGTCATGGGACGGAAATCTAGACACAGACACAGAGGGATAAGGGCCATGTGAATGGAAACAGAAGATGGTATTGTATTGCCCCAGCTTCCACTGGGACTGCTAGAAGCTAAAAAAGCCAGGGAAGGATCACTCTCTAGAGGCCTCAGAGGGAGCACAGCCCTGCTAATACCTTGACTTCAAACTTCAAGCTTCAGAACTGTGAAAAATTATTTCCGTTGTTTTAAGCCCCTGAATTTGTGGTACTTTGTTACAGCAGCCCTAGGAAACTAAAATAGATAGTAAAGTACAATTTTCCAAATCCTATCAGACAGTATCAGCATTATGGTTAAACAGAGTCATTTAAAGTGTACTTTACTTCCAAGTGCACTTTACTGAAAAAGGAAAAGAAATCTCTAGTTTCTGAAAATTGTTTTACATGATGGAATTTTTTTTTTTTTTTGAGTCAGAGTCTTACTCTGTCACCCAGGCTGGATTGCAGTGGCATGTTTATGGCCACCACAGCCTCGACCTGCTGGACTCAGGCCTTATCCTTCCAAGTAGCTGGAACCACAGGAGCGCACTACCATGCCCAGCTAATTTTTTGATTTACTGTAGAGACGAGGTCTTGAACCACTAAACTCAGGCAATCCTCTCGCCCCCTCCTCCCAAAGTGATGGGATAATAAGCGTGAGCCACCGTACCTGGCTCTCGTGATGGAATTAAAAGTCAAGCTAAGTGATCAGTGTCAATTTCTATTTCAAATGCATCAAATGTGGTCTTGAAGAAAAGTAATTAGGTAGACAAGATGTTTAATAGTCAAGCACTGCCCATTAGAGCTGCAGAGCATCCCCCATTCATTCACTCCTTCAACCTCTACTCAAGTGAGGAACATGCTTACTTGTTATTGGTTGGTCCTGTTGCCAAGACATCAGACTGTAACTTTGGAAAGAACCCTTGCTCATATTTGCCTTGACCAATTTTCATATCAAGGAGATGTGGGTGGATTGCAGTGTGATCCATCTTCATCAGTCTCTGCTCAATTGACTGGGCTATAAATTAAATTTATAACAAATTAGAGATATTTCTTTGCTAAACTTTAAGAAATAATGCTTCCTCCACTCATGCACCTACAGAGAATTCAATTATTATGTCACTCTGAAATAGATTTTTACAAAGACTCTTTAGCAATCAGTATAATGTAAGTATAAAAAGGTTAATTTTAAGTAAATATTGGATGATTTTCATGGTATTTTCCACATTTTTAAAAAACAGGGCAGCAGGGTTGAAAAAGCTACAATTTAAAATTGCAACAGTTTTCCTGGGGTGGGCAGTGGCTCATGCCTGTAATCTCAGCACTTTGGGAGGCAGAGGTGGGAGGATCAAGACCAGCCTTGGTAATATAGCAAGACTCTGTGTCTCTACAAATAAAAAAGAAACAGTTTTCCTTAAGTGGGAAATTCACTATTCTTATACAAAAATATGGTTCTAAGTACAACATTAAAGAAAATGATAGCAAATAAAATACTTTTCTTGAGCTGAAATACAATGTAAACTGAAAGACAATGGAAGAGGCAAGCACAGTAGCCTTATTACTTTATTTCTTTGTGCAAAGACCTGCTAAATATTCATCGTTCTCCATCTGTAAAAACAAAGAATTGTGAGAAGTTTATTACCTCACTTTTAGCAACAGTCATACTCTCATTAGTAGGAGTCACTTAGGAGTGCTTATTAGTCAAGAGGGTAATGCAGAGAAAAGGCAAATAAGCAGGCATTTAGCAAATGTCCAGAGCAGAAGGAACTGGCCTTTTGAAGAACAAAATAGATCAAAGTTAAAAGATAGGATTACTCAACATTTCTATTTTAAAGCTATTTAAAGTCAGGGGTGTCGAAAGATGTCTCAAAGACCCAAGAAGCAGTCATCTATTTCTCTGGTTAAAAAGCAAACAAATAAAACCCTGATCTTAAGTGATTTTATCAACTGAATTGTCAAGAAAAAATATCTGAGAAGCAAGACTAGGTCTCCAAACCCTTGCCTAGAGATTACTAAAAAAGGGAGATCATGCAGATCACACACTGTGGCAGCTGCTAAACTTGTGACTTCAGAGAAGTAAAAAGGTATCTTTATGAGTAATTCAAAGAATCAGGTTATTTTATCCCTTTTCTTTCTTTCTTTTTTTTATGTTAGAGTTGGAGTCTCACTCAGTCACCCAGACTAGAGTGCAGTGACATGCTCCTGGCCACCACAGTCTCCATCTGCTGGGCTCCAGCGATCCTTCCATCTCAGCCTTCCAAAGTAGCTGGAACTACAGGTGCGTGCTACCATGCCCAGCTAATTTTTTATGTATTGTAGAGACGAGGTCTCGTCAAGTTACCCAGGTGGGTCTTGAACCCTCAGGCTCAGGCAATCCACTTGCCTTGGCCTCCCAAAGTGCTGGGTGGGATTACAGGCTGAGCCACCGAGCCCAGTCCACCCCTTTTCAATACTAGTAGATTGAGCCCTGTTGGTTATTCTCTCCATACATATTCTAAAGCTTTTTTTTTCCAGGAGAGTATGGGACTATCTTTAGTCGGGACTAACTCCCCACTGTTGCCAAAAGAACATGCCTAAAACATTCTTTTGAATGTTTATGGCAGATCATAAAATGGCTTCACCTAAGCCACTTATTTGTGTTTAATGGTGGTACAAAGGAATGCTTTATGGAAGTTACTACTGCCGCTATGCCTTAAACTTCAAAATATTAGAGATATACTTTAAGCTTTCCTAATTTTCCCTCATAATCCATATGAATTTATCCAAAAATTTCTTGAATTTGATTATATTTTTAATGTGTGACTTGTAACTTCTCTTGAAACATATGTCTATGCTGGACAAAAGGATGCCATGTTTTTTTGTTTTTTTTTTTAGTTGGAAGTCTCACTCCATCACCCAGGCTGGAGTGCAGTGGCACACTCACGGCCACTCCAGTGTAGACCTGCTGGGCTCCCGTGATCCTTCCGCCTCAGCCTTCTAAGTAGCTGGAACAACAGGTGCATGCTACCATGCCCGGCTAATTTTTTGATTTATTATAGAGATGAGGTCTCGCCAAGCTGTCCAGGCTGTTCTGGATGCCATGCTTTAATGTGATTAAATAGTTCATTTTCAACAATGCCCACTGGCTCTCTACAATCCTACCTATACTTTCTATGCTTCTTAATATTTAGAAAATACAATTAATGGATGGTTTAAGCAAAATAATGCCTAGATTCATAGTATGGATTCTCTGAAGTCCCTGCCAATTTTATATTCCATGAAAATACTACAAAATTCCATTTCTGCCAATGAATGCTTCTGCACTCATGAAAGGAGGAAAAAAAAAAAGAAAAAGTAGCTTCAGTTTTTCCACTGGATTTAAAATGACAGAGAAATCCATCTGTTATTGAGCTGTTCGCCTTAACTTGAGAAGTTTTTTAAAAATAAAAATCATGACTCACAATGCATTACTCTAGGGTTTAAATTGAAAACTGCCACAGGAAGCATAATGCAATGCTACTTTTCAGTGATTACACCACCAGTTGAAACTGAACATTCAGAAAGTTATATTAAATGCCTGCTCTGAAAGGTCAGGAATCTCTTGTTAGATTTTCAAGGGTTTGTGTCAATACTCATTTGCTGTGATTGGTAAGCAAAAAGAAAACCATATTACTATCAATGTGTTGTCTTTCTGCATAGAAATCATGAGGTTCTGGTGCCACAAAATCAATAGCAGATAACCTGTGCCTAAAGAATTCACCTGCAAATCAAAATTCTTCTTGGTTAAAGGCAAACAAAAGCAAAAGCACAACAAAACCAAAAAATACATATGCAATTAAAATCCACATCAATCATCAGTACTCCAATCTCTATATTTTTTGAGTAGTGGAAAGAGGACAATTTTACTTCATAAAAGAAATATCTGTATCATGTAGGAGGGATGGTACCAGCCACATCAGCTGCCTCCTTCCGCTTTAAAAAAAAAGTCTTTGATAAAATCAAGTTCCTAAGGCCAGGTGTGGAGGCTCACGCCTATAATCCCAGCACTTTGGGAGGCCCAGGTGAGAGGACTGCCTGAGACTGCAGGTTCAAGACCAGCCTGAGCAACTTGGCGAGACCTAATCTCCACAATAAACCAAAAAATTAGCCAGGCATGGTGGCACGTGCCTGTAGTTCCAGCTACTTGGAAGGTTGAGGCAGAAGGATCACCTGAGCCCAACAGGCCGAGGGTGCCGTGACCAGGAGTATGCCACTGTCCTCCAGCCTGGGTGACCAAGTGAGATCCCAACTCAAAAATAAATAAATAAATAAAGTTCCTGGAAAACTAGTGCATTAGCCTAATTTCATTTTCATTTACGTTAAATCCATGATCGTACAGTTTTAAGAGTGTTATGCAATTTCTGTGATGATAGTGGGAGTATCAAACTCTTTGAGAGGCTGAAAGAAAATCTATTTTAATTGGGAAGACTTTCTGGAAGCACACAAATTAAGGTATCAGTGCTTAGCTCCATTTTAAAAATTCCATTAGGAAGGAAAAAATGAAATTTGCCCAACAAGGCATTTTACTATTCGCATGATTATTAAAGCACTGGAAATCATATTATTCTCTGAACAAGCATGGTCAATTTCATTCATTCTACTTCCTTAATTTCCAGAAACAAAAACTGAGGTAACTACTACTTTCCGAAGGAGTTTCAAGGGTCTGCCCTCATATGTGGGAGGACAACAGGGTGATGTTTGTGAGCCCTCTACAGCTACATAAATGACATCATTTACATACTTCTTTCCTTAAACACGCTAAGACTTCAGCATCATCATTCCTGTGACTTTAATCTATTTAAGGCAAGTGGGAAAGGCAAGCAAGCAAGCAAGGCAGAGCAAAGAAGCTCCACATTTGCTGTCTCCTTTTTGCCAGAGAAAAAGCTGCTCTCAAATAACTCCTACGTTTGAAGGAAATGATATAAGGAAAGGGCACTCTGGTGATAGATATTTATCTGGCAAAGAATGGGTTCGGAAGCAGACATCAATGTCTAAAATTGTGTGGATTAGAACACTTTACTATTTATCAAATGGAATGACTAACACAGTATTAAGGCTTCAGGTACTGGAATCAGTCAGATAAGAGTTCAAACCATGGCTCCACCAATAATTAGCTGTGCAACCAGGGGCAAGTCACTTCACCTCTCAGTCTTCTCAACTGTAAAATGAGGCTGGTAATAAAACAAAGTAAAAATAAGTGTGTCTATAAACACTTCTTAAGATCACATGCAAAAACACATGAAAAACACCTGGTATAATGACTGACACATAGTAAGTATTCAGTAAATATTGTCTATTAATATGACTATTTATTTAATGGACTGTATGATACTGCCAGATAAGACTGGTCAAAATTCATAATTCTCTGAGGGAAAGACTGGTGTCAGGGTTACAGGAAACTCTAATTTGAATGCAAGAACCCAGAGATTTAATTTCAATAAATGAAACTACTATAATTAATGGCTCTACTAAAGTAAATATGCTGTTGTAGTTACATAAATTAGGCAGAACCTCAGATTTACTATTTTAAATTAGTACTTATCTTTTCTTGGAAGAAGAAAATAAGTGAGAAATAAAAAGGACACATAAGTAGCAAGATAGAAATTAACATTTTTCCCATTAAGACAATAAAGAGAATAAAACAAAAATCATAGCAAGCCTCCAATTCTACTTGTTTCAATTTATTATTGTTTTTCCTCTTTAGACTAAAGGAAGAGAAATGTCAAGTGAGGATGGAAACTCACAGAAAAAGAAAGAAAACTATACCAAGCACTTCTTGATGTAGTACCAGGATTAGCCATGAAGTCTAAAACTGAAAATTAACGTTATGATATAAGGCCAATTTTAATTTAATTTTAAAAGTCAATTGTACCTGCTTCTTTTAAAGTGCTGCATTTCTGATATATAGATGTCCGCAAGGTAGGTGCTCTTACATTATACAACCTCATCTTATCAATCCGAGAGTCAAAGACCCGAAGCAAAGGATCTTTCTCTTCCCACTGAGACATAATTTTATTATCAATAAAGGTGGCAAACATCTGTGTTTCAATGAAGCGTGAAAGAAATGGCAGGTAAGGCTCAGGCTGGTCAGACAGAAAGGAAGCCTGTAATGAGATAATTAGGAAATTATTAGTACAGAGGGACTATCTCAATACTCCATGACGAGTCTGAAAATTACGTGGTTAAGGTCATTCTTTTTAAATCTTGTAACACACAAAACTGACACTTGAAAACTAAAAATCCTTAAAATTTTTTTCCTATTTTCCTAAATTCATAGGATTTAGGCCACTTAAGTCTTTAGCAGTGCTTTTAACCTTACAAAATTGATTTACATTCTGATTCTTATGGCCATTACGCAGGAAAGAGGGCATCATCATTAATGAAAGTGATACGTTGCTATACAACTGTCAATCAACCACTTCTACCATTAAATTCTGATCCCTTTCCCCAGGGAGCTGTAATTTCTTTTGCTCTCTATTTCTAGCTTATGTAGTGTACTTTCAAGTCATAAGGCAACATGATACAATGATACATACATAAGCAATAACCTTAAAAAAACAACACAGAAATTGTGCTAGTGGGTGAAATCTTTTTGTTCTTCTCAAGTGAGTGTTTTTCCAGGCTCTACTCTATTAGAAACTAACTCAAGATCAAACTTCTAGACCTGTGCTAACACAATAGTCTTGGTCTCAATAACTAAAAAAAAGCATTTTCTGGAAGTTAGGTGTAGTGGCACATGCCTATAATTCCAGCTACTAGGGAGGCTGAGGCAGGGGGATCCTTTGAGCTCAGGAGTTTGAAAATACGTCATACGCCTCCCTGTTACTAACTTGTCTGATGCATGGAATGGATCAGCATACTGTTATCAGCTCCTAATCCAAAGTGTTCATTTTTTTCTATTATTCTTCAAGTCCATGTGTATACCAGGAATTCTAGTCTCAATTTGGTACAGCTGAAATTGAGAAGTGAATTACTATTTAGGTTGCTGCGTTGATTCTTTTTTTTCTTTTGAGTAGATGCTGTGTGGCAGAAGCCGGAAACAAAAGAAGAAAAGGTAAGTTCTGACATAAGGTAACTTTTAAAAATATTCTCATCAGTTTCTTCCCAGCATATTTGTTTTTCATTCTAAAATTTAGGAGGCCTTTAAAAAACTTCCTTATAGAAATCCACTTCTTCATTTTACATATTCCCACCATTTAGATGTACATATGTAAGTCCAAATAACCAGAGAAAGAGTCACCAGTGTTCTCCAGAAATCGGTTCACTTTCTTGAAAGGCATTTTACAAATAAACATCAATTTTACTTTTTATAGATCAAATAGTCTTTTTTTTTTTTTTAATGGGCCAAATATCTGGTTTTTGATGTTCAGACCCCATGGACTACACACTAAAGGTCAACAAAGACTTGTCCTGTAGGACTAGTATGTTCTGCAAATTTTCCTAGTGGAAAATGAGATGATTACAAGCCTTCTGGAATCCAACATGATACTTTCATTTCTTTAGGAATTATATAAAAAGAATTCTATTTACAGTCTGAAAGTACATAAAGATTAAGAAGGAAGAAAACATCACGGCTCAATTTAGGTAAGAATTTTAATTTCCCCAAGGATAAACCATGGATGTACACAGATTAGTTACAAGTTGGATAAGAAAAAGTGTGGAAAATGATTAAGTTAATTAGAAAGGAATCTGGCCAGGCTCGGTGACTCAGCCTGTAATCTCAGCACTTTGGGAGGCTGAGGTGAGTGGATTGCCTGAGTCTGTGGGTTCGACAACCACCTGGGCAACTTAGCAAGACGACCCCCCCCCCCC